AACTAGGAGGTAATTAACGTGTTAGAGGAAATAGAAATACCAATTAGATTTATCCTCCTTTCATTACCACAACCGAGCAATAAGAGTTTTTCTCTCGAAAAATCGCCGTTTCCCCTTAGCGTTACAATTCTCTCTCTATTACGTGTAAGTAGTAGCGAGAAAGTAACATTGCAAATACTAACTGAACTTTGTCTTTAGAACTAACATTGACTTTACTGAAGAAAAATTATTTCAGCCAGAAATGGGCTAATATGTACATATGTACATTATTGCATATGTAAGTAAAAATGCTTCAAATGATTTTCATGAAGTTTCTTGAAAACTTAATGTTTTAAAGTGAAAAATAGCTCAAAAGTGGATATTTTCAGACACGTTCAAAGATATTGTGAAGAACGGCTCCATTTTTTAATATTATTTTTGTGTGGATAAGAGCTTATTTCGCTCAATAACATGACATTCACTATGTTTTGATCTATCCTTTTGATTTTTTAAAATTACATTTTTTTAAATATCTCTCACGTTAAAATTTACTTTCCCAGAATTGGTATATACACTGGTGTATGTGAAAATCGCAACATCAAGGAGAAATATTATTACATTAAAAATTCTTCCACATATTATGAATATCACGATGGACAAATGATTAGAATTACAGAACTGTACCTGCAATTTGACTTTGAGTATTTAGCACGGTATGAAGTCACCACGCGCTGCCATGACAGCCTCTAGGCGTCGTGGCATGTATACAAAGAGAGCCTGGGGAAGACACTGCCACGTTTCTATCCGTGACCAAAAACATCGACAGTAGCTGCAGAAGAACCAGAACAGACAAGGAAGAGCGTAGGCTTCCGCGGCTGGAGTCGGTATGTGCGAGCACTTAGCTGTCCAGGAGACGCCACGTCCTAGGCACAGGTGCCGACGTTTCGGAATGCGCGGAGATGGAACACATTTGTGGCACTCTTCCGTCGGGGGATATGGTGGTAGGTGGTAGTTTTGATAATAAAGACTCGCTCCTCATGCAGCAAGGATATGTGGGCTTGGAAAACTCTTTGCTTGAAGTGTTTATTTTTTGTTACGATTTTGGAATGTGCAATACTTCATGGATTTCGTGGCTAGAATTGGTAGTAGAAGTGGGTTTTGATGGAGATAGCTTGTTTGGAGAGGTTAAGAATTTATAGTAACATTACATTGCTCTGAGGAGAAATTACTTTACTTTGGAGGAAACTGGCATCTGTTGGAAAGTGAGAGGCATTTGTATTGTATTGTTTTATATTTTATATTGTGGATTTATATTTTATTGTTGGTATTTTTGGAAGGTAGGGATCAAAATAGGATTTTGGAAGATTTTTTCCATGTGTTTTGCTGCGTTTTGTAATATGAAGGATGAAATTGGGATTTGGTTGTTACTGAAACATTTCCTCAAAAATGTTTGCTAATCTTTCAATGAAATCTGGCCATGGTTGCTCAACATGTGACCATGTTTCATTATTCTATAATATTCCTAAATTCATATTTCAATTCTATTCTCAGGGGACGAAAAAGTGATGAACTGTGAAAAAATGTATTTTAGGCGCTATTAAGCAGCTGGGAAGGTGGAACAAAACTCAATAGCTAGTCCAGACTAAAGAGATTAGGAAATTAATTCGTACGAGAAATACTACTGTACCTCTTATTACTTTTCGTTTAATATTTTGCATATATGTGCATTATTACTCTAAATGCAATAACTTTATTTTCGTTGATCACTTTCGAAATTCGTGAAAGTTTTCCGTGATTCGGGAAAAATAATTTTTTCTAGGGAAATATTTATAATGGTCAGCAATGCTACTTCTTAAATATCACAATACACTTCTTTTTAATCAATACAAAATAAATTACTAAACTTACTCTCACACCAGATTTATTGTTTGTTGAAAATATTTTTGATTATGTTTCAACATACTGTACTTCTAGTGCTTCGTACAAAATGCTTATTAATTTTTTAACCTATAATGCCCCTCTTCATATATAAAATAGCATATTTTATTGGTAAAACTGTCATGAAGAAAGTTAAATATATGGAGTATGACAGTTTTAGGGGCGCAAAATGCTTGAAAACGGGTACGCTCAGGAAAAACCTATCCTTCTTCAAAGTGATAAATGTTGCTTATGTTGCTTTTCCTGTCCACACAATTATATATTGGAATTACTTCATAACACGATATCAATTTTTTGGTCGTAAAATCCGTATTTAACGTTATTTTGAACTTTAACTCTGCACACTCATTCGGATTAAGATACATTAGCGAAGTTCCAAGGATCGTGAAGAGTGGTGTTTGGTGAAAGGAGATGCATGCAGCTATGTACCCGAAAATCGGGGTGACTACATATATGTATGTATGAATGTACGTGATGTTACATAACTCTCTCAGAATATACAAAAGCTTTAAGCTGAAACTTGCTATGAATGTCAGACATATATTTGCCGTTCCGGAGATCATTAACTAAGATATTTTAATTTTTTTACGAGAAACTCTTGAGAAATTTTTTTAAAAATCCGGTAAAATGACTGATAATGATTTCTTTCCATTTTTTGCTCGATAGAAGAACGTTTATTTATAAGTATGATACACAATATTAACAATATTAATGAAAGCCTCTGTAATTTTGATCATCCCATTTTTTAACATTAAGGATTGCCGTTTCGAAAGAATTGAGAAATCCACTCACCTAAATTTCGTGATTTGTGCTTTAAATGAAAGGTATTGGACCACAAATAAAAGGTATTCTTCTGGATATATATTATTAAACGATTTTTGTAGTGTTATATTAGTACTATATGTAGTGTAATATTAATAAAATTGTAAAATTAATCGAATGAAATCTTTCCTGCCCTCTATAGGCCGTACATTATGTCGCTTGGTTATGACAAGAAAGGTTTGTCCTAGCTCGAGCAAGTGTGTGAATTTGAGTTCGTATAGTTTGAGAAGCGAAGAAAGCAAGCTTGTTGAAGTTCGAAAATTGAGAGTTTTTAATAATTACTGATTGTATATGAACACAATGTCCAGCAACCGTGTGAAACCTGAATTCCTTTACAAAACTTAAGAGAATACTCAGTTTTCTGACACTTATCCTCCTCTTAACGTCATTGCTCAACAACTATTCCGAATTGTTTTTTAAAAAATGCATTATTTAAATATCTATAATCGAATACGTTATGCAGAAAATTCCAAGCCAAAAGTGTGGTTGAAAAATGGCTAGTAAAATTGGGATATGTCTTAAAATTTGGAGCTGCAACGTTGCACGTCATAAATTAGATATGTGTGGGATGTGCCTGAAGAAAAGTTAGACAAGTTCTACGCATTAACTCTACGGAAAACACGAAGCACAAAGACGATGTATAATGACGTTAACTCTCGAAGCATGGTGAATAGAGAGGGAGGTTAACAAACTATGGAACAATACAATCACTATTCACTGAGAACATAAAGATGAACAAGATGAACATGTTTTTGTAAAAGTAATGGAAATGACGTGTGTGTATATATATATATATATATATATATATATAGATAGATAGATAGATAGATAGATAGATAGATAGATATAGATATACGTATTCACGATTCGTTGCATTTAAAAACACTTTAAATTTAAGAAAACTCGCTATTCGCTTTTCTATCAATAACTTATATTTTCAGGAAGAGGAAAGGTCGAATGCTTTCAAAAGATCGATTATAGACGCACAATGACATAATAAACAAATGACTGCAAATAAGTGTACATGTTTGTTTTTCTTAAAATTTAGTATTAACACTATACAATCGGTAAATAATAGCAAGCTATGAAACATTGTGTCAACTACCGTTAATTTAAAGCAAAAATCACGATGTGTGGATGAATAGAGCGCTGAAACTTCTTTCCAAAAGAAAACTCTTAGTGTTTTAATTTTTTTTCAGCTTTCTAAATATCGAAAGTTTTAATAAAAATAGGAACTTATAAATGCATTTTCTTCTAACAGAGCAAAACATTTAAAGAAAAATAATATGTTATTTTTCAGAAAATGTTTAGTATCAAAAGGACTTCATGTAAAGCACACCCAGCACAATAACACCTTAATGCTCTTCGGAATGGCACAAACAGACCATACGTCTGACGTATTTACCTAGTTTCAGTTGAAAGGTTCTCATCTGACAGAGATAGGTGACTTATCAATTCATCCATCCATCCGTCCCGATTAACGGACATCCATAAAGACGTCTTGATTTTCGGGTGGGGGTGTATCTCGTTTCCACCCATCTAACAGGAAGAGGTGGCTCAGGACATCAGTTGGTGTCACTGCAGTGCCCCTGATTGGGAAGTCCTAGGTTCGAGTCCCTGCGTTCGCGGCAGGATTTTCGACACTAGCTTGGCAGATAAGTCGTATTCACTTGCTCTCTGGAGAATGCTAACGGCCGGCTGCTCTGATCGGAAGTTTTTCGTGGTTTCTTCGATCAATACCAGGTGAATGCTGGAGGAGAACCCTAACAAACGGGCTACAGACCGTTCGCGATCTTTCCTTCCCATTTCGTGTCTTATCCTCACCCCTTACGTACACTCACTTACAGTAACATGCACTACACTACATATGTGCAGAAAGACAGGTCGGGAGCTTAGGGCTTATCCCGGCAGGGTCGGTGCTGAACTTGTGGGAGATTCCTGGCTCGGAAAACCTCCGCTAGCAGACGGTAAGTCGGTGCCGAATCTCGCTATCTAGCTGGGGAAGATCACCGCCACCTCCCGAGGAAAAAATGCGTTATAAATACGGTACTAAAGACCTTAGCAGTTGACGCGCCCGGAATCACTAACAACCAACCGAGTTTTTCTTCTAGTTTAACTCCTCCCTTTCCATGTCCGCATAAGAAGGGTGAGATTGCGGAATGGCGCCTATTCATCAGTAGTGTCAACTGAACATACTATGCACGCCATATTCTACAGGCGCACTCGTCATTGATTTAATTTTCCTATTTTTTTGCTTTCAGCTGGCTGTACAATGCTACGCAGAATATGAAGATTTCACAGAATCCACAGAATCCACAGAATCCACTGAATCCACAGAATTCACAGATTTCACAGAATTCACAGAGCACGCTGATACAACGACCGAGACTACCACACCAAAGAAAACTGATTTTATTGGTTTTCCCAGCCCATTTATAACTGTATCTGATATGTGGATGCCGTTAGCGACTTGGATTGGAAACGTTTTAAAATTTGTTGGAAAATTTATTTAATTATTTGATGGTTCTGAAACGAATTGTTACCAATTCCTTTCTCCAGAGAAAATCAACCTTGTATGTTGATTGATTCGTTTCGCTTATCGGCATTTCTTTAAATTTGTATGAAGTATTTTGCAAGATAATAATGTGCCTTGTGTTTTAGTTTAAAAATGATAAAATAAAACATTACAAATTAATAATTTTTATTTTTCTGAGAGTTTTGATTGTATTTTTTGCTTGTTTACTTCCTGAAAGAAATAAGTACTTCCTGCCTTGCAGAAACTTTTCAGACAAATACCACTTCTAATTTGAGATTCTTAGAATGTAGTTCCGAAAAAGAAAGGTGATTCGCAAAGCGCACATTTTACTTTTTCGCCCTTAAGAAGTTAAGAAAAAGTTATGTAATACTGTGTGAGAAGACAGCGAATTTTCGGTGAAAAACTCTCATTGCTGGAATCTGGTAACGAAAAAGTGGATGAATGCTGTGGTATTAAATTACATTCTCAATCACGCACTGTAGCCAGAATCCTTTTGTAGGTCCTTCATATCGAAAAAACGATTGACGGGAAAAAGACTGCGTCCGTCCGTATGTGGACAACGCTAGTGCTTACACTGTTCAGCCTATTTTCTCCAAAGTTATATTCCCCGATCGATCGGAATGAACTCGATGCTACAGCATCTCATAACGATAAGGATACTTTGATTTTTGAGAGTTCTTTGCAAGAAACCTCAAACACATTTTCAATATCTTCTCAAAGTGGCTCCCATGTTTTTACTTAAATTTGTTCTCGTTTGTCATGTTTTGGCTTTATAATTTTTCAATATCTATTTAAAAAAAGATTATTGACAAGACAACTATCTTCTTACCGTGAAAAAACTTTTTTGCATGGTTTTAGATATTCAGTTCTCTATTTATGGCCATACGAAATGCATTCCATGTTGTCAGGTTTCAGGCTTATTTCTCCAATACAAGATTACAAAATCTCCTATGGTAAAGAACGCTTAAGACAATGATGCAGGACTCATGTTTGTTGAAATCCCTGAGGTTTCGTAAATTCTTGAGTTTTTGAAGTGCAATTTTTGATTTTGGGGAGGCGTCTTCGTCCAACTACAATATACGAGTTTTTTCCTTAATGAAATCTGTTTCACAAAGACAGATCCTCAAATATGTTCAAGTTAAATTTTTCGAAAATGTATTGTGTAATTTTGTGCAAAATATAGGCAATTAATTTTTTTAAATTTTTCTCAAAAACCGCTTCAATTTTTTCTTTTAATTTGCACTTCATATGTGATAAGGGATGATAAAAAATATGGCGCTATTCCCATTTCCGGAGAACACTGTTTTCTCAAAAATAGCAAAAGGTTAACATTTCAAAACTGAAGATACAGAGTTTGTACAAATCAAACAAAATTGAAGATAGAGAGTTTTGCTTAAACAAAGTGTGTTCCAAAAAAACCAGCTCTTAGGTAGCTGATATATAATTTTTTGAAAACACGAGTGAAATTTGCGTAATTTGTATCTGGAATTTATGCAGTTTCTAAAAAGAAATGTTATCTTATAATCCGCACCAAATTTTTTCTTGAATTTTTTTCTTGGAATTAACCAAGGGGCGATAAAAATACGCTTGTCCCATTTTCGGCTAACACTTCGTATTTTCCAAAAGAACTTTTCGAAGCTACAAAATTGAAGATTTTTGTCTTAAAAAAAGACTGTTCTTTCAAAGGTCTTTAAAGAAAGTTCAGGTACAATTTTGTGAAAAAAGAGAAGATTTCGTATCTGAAAGTTATCGTCGCATCAATTTTTAAAACGTCGCGTTAAAACCGCATCAATTTTTGTCGCTACGTTTTCTCTTTGTAACAACGGACGGTAAAAAATTATGGTGCTAGTCCTATTTTCGGGGAATTCTTCGAAAATTGCCAAACTTCCATATTGGAAATAGTGAGTTGAGACAATTATATTTTTAAGCTTCGGCCAATGTTCAAACCCAACAGATATTCAATAAAATAGTTGTAGATAACTCGGAAGACCTGTGCTCGAGAATCGGCGCAGAAAATAATTTTTCTGGCTGAAAACCCTTTTGTATGTTTATGTAGAAGTATAATACATCAAAAAGCTAGAATTAATGCGAAGAGTATGTGCTGCTGTAGGACCACTTGTTTACTAACGAAGGGTAATAAAACCTTTTTGTGTACATTGTTAACCTGTCACAGTTTGCATGTTACACTACTAATTAATATGATCTGGAAGCTTCTTTAGTAAACATAATAAGAAAATTAGGATAAAACTACTGGATGCACATACAAATTTTGAGGGGGACATTTCCCCCGTCTCCTCAGCTTAGGACGCCCATTTCGAGCATAAAATACAAGAAACACCTGTGTGTTATGAAGAATACGATTATCAAACATTTCTAGCGCTATTTATCAATATTTGCTTCATTACTGCGCGGTGGCTTGATGACGGATTTTGTTCCAAAAGCTTGTGCCTTACGTCAACCTTTTCATAGATATCACCGGATGATGATAGATATTTTCGTTTTATTCAACGGTCGTAAAATTAATTTTCAGTTTTGAACATACCTTTTGGAAATGACGTTCAAAAGTTTGAAATTGAAATCAACATTTTTGAAAGAAAATTATGTTAGATTAATTTTTTTTGCAAGTCATGAAGAATTTAAATATTGATTTTTTAATGTAACCGTCTAGAGAAAAGTAAAATGCTAAAAATACCTCTTTTCTTCAACTGCCTAAAAAAAGCAACTTCTGTGCGTCACTAGCCGTATGTAAAGTTCATAATTTTTTAATATCCATTAAAAAAAGATTGTTGAGAAGACAACTATCTTGTAACCGTGAAAAAAGTCTTTTTTGTGTGGTTTTAGAATACTTTTCTCTAATCATGGCCCTATGAAATGCATTTTTATATTGTCTGGGGTTTCAGACTTCTTTTTCCAATACAAGTTTTTTATGCTGTTGTAGAAAAAATATTCACATTTCGTTTGTGAACTTTCTGTTGTTTTCTTTTTCATGTGCGAAAGAAACGAAAACTTTACACTCTTAATATGAAAATAACGATTTCCTTGGGTAGGAGACAAGAGAGCAGAGTTAAGGAGCTGAAAACGAGTTGATTGTTTAAATTTTGACTCAAATTTTTAATTCAAAATTATTTGAATTATAATATTCTTAGGAGCAATTTTTACTATCTTATCAATCTGCAACTTCGAATTTTGTGTGTGTTTTGACTAACAAAATTACCGATATTTAAAAAAGACGTTAAATTCATTCAACTCATACACAAAAATATAACACGATAAGAGTTGGAAAGCGTTTGTGTTAAATGTACAATAATATATAATAAAATAAACGTAATTGACTGCAAACTGAGAGTGAACCGATTTCGTTTTTATACTGCCCGCCTGGTTCCTCATCCTCAAGAATGTGTGTTCTTCTCATGACTTTCGAAGAAGTTTTGGATTTATTACCCACTAAAATTTTTAATTTGTATTTAAATTACCTAAAATAGAAAAGCTTAAAATATTTTTTCCAAAAGTAACGCAGCTGTAAAACCTGTTTTCTCTACCTAAATTTGTGATTGCCAGTACAACTGCAACCTACTGCGTCATTACTACCTGTGTTGAATTTATCACGGGATATATGCATCGCTTAGTAATTTCATAATTGATTCTGGATTCCAAACACTTTCGCTCTCAAGCAGGCCGACGATCGCGGGCTGCTGGTTGATTGGCGGCAGGCCCAGCTGCTGCTCGCCAGAGCGTCGAAGCGTAGGAACAGTTGCGCGTCGCGCCGATTGCATTGTCGCTGGCAAATGTTTTGACGCCCCGGAGAGCAAATATGTGACAAAAGCCTATACCGTATTAACTCAGTCGCAGGTGATAGCGAATATGATTACATCGTTTGTTACGTTTTGATTTTTCGAAGATGAGTTCACACGGTTCTGTCAATTATTTTTCCCTCACCTTAACTTTCTGATTTAAAATAAAGTTTGTACAAAACTCGTGTGTGCCGTTCATTTACTTCGTTAGTTGTTGATTGGCTCATTAGGTCCTGTGTTTGTTCAGAGTCGCCGGGTCACTTCCAATTAGGGTTATTTCTACGCAGGTCCGAGCAGTGTTTTCCCGTGCTGCGATCTAGCGGCCGACGCTGTAAGCAGACAGGGGACCCGAAGCAACCCGTGTTGTTGCTGGCGCCACGACGGACAGTTCCGGTGTTCTGTTGCAGTCGAGAAGAAACGGAGAAATAAGAAAATTGATACAACACCAACATTGATAATATATTTAACTATGTTCTCAAAGATGATAGGTAGGAAGAGAACAATTTAAATTTAATATTATTTTAATTGTTGTAAAATAACATCTGGATTAACCCACCACCTTTTACGACCATTGAAATACAATGTGTTTAAACGCAATCACGTATTAAAAAGTTGTTTATACTTATTACATTCATATAATTTTAATATTTGTTACATTATTTTTGTTCCAATACTAGTTTGAAAACAATAAATAATTACAATTATGGAGTACGTCAAAACTGGCATTATTGAAGTAATTAAGGATATCTGATAAAATAAAATGTTTTGAAAGTATTCCTTATAGTGTTTACTACATAAACCTTTATAATATGTAATCGTCATACATAATCGTCGTACATAAAATCTTCAATCATGTGTCTGTAACCACCATATTTTTATCTTCTGTTTGAAACTGTTTGCTCTTCCTCTTATTTATGGAATGTGGCGAGTCTTGGTGTAAAATCCAATAACAGTCACGTTGTATCCCACACGTTGTACTCCACCGACCGTGATACCTCTTTTCCGTCTTGTATCTTAGTGGAAACCTCCTCTTTGCTCCTCACTCATTGCAGGGGCGGATTCAGCCGATTGGGGGCGGGGGGCGGGAGGAGTATCGTAGATTTGTGTGAAATAATAAACAATTTTTAAATTTTATTGTGTATTATTTATGTACTGTAGATACGATACTGTACAAATTATTGTTTAAATAATTATATACTTCGAATATAAATAAATATTTAAATCAATTTTGCCAAATAAAGGAAGGTAAACTGAAACTCTTGGGGGGTGCTATTGTTCC